AAACTCTGTCCCAGCTAAAACTAGGACAGAATCCCATCTTAGGTATCCACCAATTCTTCAGAAAATAATAGAAAAAAGCTATAAAAAATGCAATGAAATCTTATTCTTCCATAGGTAATTAATTAGAGGCATCTTTTTATTTTTTAATATTTGAATTAGAAGTAGTATTTCTGAGTTTCTTTGTTGTTTTTATTTTAATAGTAACACATAACGAAATAATGAGTTGTGCTGTGCATACTCTGTGAGCACAACAGAATGTTCTGCCCTAGCTAGCTTACATTCATATTTAAGTTTAGATTATTAATGTTAAGTTCATTTGAGGTATTTTAAAGTTCCATTATCACTGCATATTTGGGCTGCAGGCTAACTGTGTGTGATGGATGTTATTGATTAAATTTGATAGAGATGAAAATTGAGAAGTCCAGAAAGAGCTGTTAAGCACTGTGCCGGCACTCCCAGGGAAGCAGATTTTTTGTGCTCTTATGAGTAGGCATCATTTTGAAATGTCTGATGGTGGTATTTTTCTTACGGCTTCTAGTACAAAACAGAACGTGAATGGATTCTTAGATTTCTTGGAGAAGGGTTGCGTGATAAACATTGCTACGAGCTTTATGACTACCAGAGGATTTTCCAGGTCATTCTTTCCTTTTTCAACAGTCCTTTGTGTGATGAGGGATCCCAGGTAAGAATTTTTTAAAAAAAACCAAACAACACAAAAGAACTAAAACCACAAAACTTTGTAGGGCTTGATCTTAAACAAATGCAAAGCAGAAAGGAACAGTTAACTCTTCTCTTGCTCTCTTGAAAATCTGTTACTTTTTGATTTTGTATACATGTGGATGGGGAAAATATTTGCTTATATCTAAATCGGTGTCACATCCTTGTCCCCTGAAGTTGTAACAGGTCCCTGCCATCACGGAACCTCACTCGGTTTCATCAGCTGGTGGTCTGGCTCTAGCCTTATTTCTACTGCTTCGTGGAAAATATTGCAGATACCGCAGTTTTCCTCATACAGTCAGGGCCTTTGCTTTTTTAGGTCTGCTTATTCCCTAATCAGCATGTACCTGTGCAGTGCTTTAGCAGGAAGAAAATTCATATGCCAGAAGTTCTCATGTTCGTAAGCATCCAGTCTGAGAAATCCAGTCTGTTAAGAGTATCTCAGTTAGGTATCAAAATCTTGGACAAAAGGAGAAGATTGTCTTGCTGCCTTAAGACTTTGTTTGAAGGGTAGCATCTGCGTATATGAAGCCTTGAAAAGAGAAGATATTTTCTTCCCTAGTGTTGCAAGAACATGCGGTGTTTGGTAATACATTTTAAGTTGATCAGATCCCGGATACCAGTCAGATTGCTAATTATATCCTTCTGAAAGATGGATATTAATCAGATCTTGACTATAGTCTAATTGTGTAAAAGAACAAATTACATTTTCTGTTTCAGAGTCGTATCCTGGAGATACTGCAAAATGCTGCCCATGTCACCAGAGCTGCCTATGAGCTGATACAAGACCATAGCCTCTTAACATGGATACTGCAAATCCTGGAGAAAAGGTAACTAGGGAAATAGTAGTGAAATGGGAAAAAATTTACTCCCACAGTAGAATAATTATGAAACTGAGTATGAAAACAAGGGCGACAGATATGGAGATGGCTTGTCAGTGGTTGTGACATTGGGCACCTGTGGCCATACCAGCAGAACGTGCTGAACTCTGAAGTGTTCCCTTGTGTTTCTAAAAAAAAAAAATCAAGATGCTTTCAAGTTGTAGTAGGAGAGATGATAAGGGATGGAGGCTTCATGTTTTTGATAATGCTTTCTTGAAAAACTGAGAAAACAAAATGGCACCTTATTTTAGCATATGTGACTGTTTCATTTCAAATACCCACAACTCACATCTGCTGTAGGACCTCCTACACAGTAACTGGCATGACAATGACTTTGAGCTGGCTGTAACATTTCTCCTCTCGCTCCTTCCTCCTCCCCTTGCCTGTCCCTCTCATCCATGCACGCATGTGCATGCACACACACAAAATCTCTTTCACATAGATTCCTCCAGCAGGTTCAAGCGAGGTTTCAGGATCAGCTACAGTGCGACTGGCCTGAAGAGTTTCTCAGTACTGCTCCCCTGTTGTGCACTGCTCTTTGGTACAGTTTGGTACATGTGAAAGGGAAGAAGCCTGGATTTGGCCTCTGGCACTCAAGACTTATTTTGTAATTGTACTTTTGAGAAGTAGTATTTTTGCACCCTCTGTACAATATATGAGATTGCTCCCCCACCCCCCTTAGAATAACAAAGTAAATACAGCTTCCGATACTGTGCTGTAAGCGTTGCCGTTATTACTTCAAAGTCTGAGAAACATAAGGAACCAAGCTGTCCGGAATAGTAACAGCTCTAAAGAAACTGTGGCAATGGTTGCAATGTAATGGAATGCTTGGTAGAGCTGTGTAATGAAAGATGCAAGTCAGAAATCGCTTGTCTTAAACAGAGGCTGTGATAGACTATTGTGTTTCCCCAGCTGCAGTATGGCAAGAGGAGGTACTGGGTGTTTTCCTTGTCTGAAGAGGGCAGGAACCAGGGTGTCTGTGTGGCTGGCGCTTCCAAAGGGTACCCTCTCATGCCCTGATGCGGTTCTGGCTGAGGGGCACCTATTGCCATTCACAGCTCCAAAAGTGCACTAGGATATAGCCACCTCTAGGAGATGGGCTGATTCCTGGCTAGGATCTGCCTTCCAAATGGATGTTTGCTTTTTTGTGTGTTTTTCAGGTTTCTGGAAAACAAGCTGTTAAATAAAATTATTTCCTTACTCCATACTCTGTGGCTAACAAATTTAGGAGGCAAGAGAGAAAGCAAGAATCAATCCCAGGAGAACAGGAAGTTTCTTCCTATTCAGCTTGTAAATGAATTTCTGTATATTTTGATCACATTAATCAAACACATTCGGTAAGTCTTTTTTTGTTTGTTTGTTTTTAAATTGGTCTGCACGTCATCCTCTGTCCAGTTTGAAATTTATTAAGGCTAGAAGAATTTCTTGATCTCTGGTAGTTTAATGCTTTCCCCCCTCCCCTTCAGTTTGAATGTTGAGTAATGAGTTTTGTTGAGATTTCTTCAGCTGTTTAAATATATGGGGAATAAAATAAGAGCTGATGCACAGTTACTGTCAAGTTCTGCATCCTTAATTATTGGCCATTTTTAAGCTGCTGTGCTTTACATTTTTCCTGCTGGATTAGAGCCTGCAGTTAGCAATGCTGGTTGCCGTAAGGATCTTTCATACTCTCTGAAGGTTTAGACCTTCCCTGTCTGTACCACACGTGCAAATTGTTCGAGGAGAAACCGTGCAAATTTCTACACGACAGTGTTAAGAAGGGGTCAGTCTCCTCTCTCCAGATCTAGAGCACTTAACCTGTCAAAGCACAGCAGTTGCAGCAGGGATAGTAGAAAGCAAATGGGTAACCAGTTCTGTTTGGGTTCATAATAGCACCTGCAGCTCATTGTGCAGACAAGTATTGCCACAGCCTGGAGAAGCTGTTTATTTCCTCAAAATTTCGAAAATTCAAGCAAAATAAAGAAGCATAGGTAAAGCTCCAGATGTCTGTCCTCCTCCTTGTGTGCCATCTGCCTTTGCTGTTTACAGGCAGGAGGGCAACAACTGTGTTTTGTGGTCTGTTCTGCCAAACGCTGATGGAGTGAAGCACTGGGGATTCAGTGGGAATGAAACTAGTTATTACTGGCATCCTGAGAGACAAAAGTATACGTCTAGAGAACTGCAGGAGAAAACTGTGGGAAGAGACTGGAAGGGATAGAAACCTGTACTTACTTTATTTTATTAATTAGCATGCAGAAAAATACATGGCACTTTTGTTTTCTTTTCATAGGGCTAATTTAGATCTAGTCAAACTGACTCAGTTTTTCAGTACACTCCGTTCTGTGCTGGAGTATCGTGCTATAGTTGTTGAGGCCTTCAAAGAAATGAGCCGCTTCACGGTGAATGACAGCGTTCTCTCAAACAAAGACATCCTGCTGCTGCTGCATAAGTGGAGCGTCATCGGAAAGGATCTGCAACTGCAAGAGGATGTGCAGACTCTTGCTCAGAAATACCAAATAAAAGAATTGCTTAGTAAGTACTGAAATATTTCATAAAAGTCACAGTGCTGAGGCTGTTACAAGCTAACCATACGAGTGGTGCAAACTTCATAGGGAGTAGTATTAATAACTTTTGTTGGACAATCTGATATAGCTTGGGGGAGGAGGAACAGAAATGGAAAGCTGTTTTTTAGGTCTCCGTTGTAGTGATTTCTAACTTTAAGGCAATTCAGGAAGCTTTAAAAAAATACAGTTTTTAAAAGAGCTTTAAAGTGAAACTTAGTTGCAGATCTAGAGTCAGGCTTTGAAAACTTGTATTCTTCAATGAAATTTTAAAAAAGTGGTGCTTGGAGGCTTTCTGCCCATTCCGGGTGTGGACAGGGGATCTGAAAGTGAAATATGAGTAAAAACTAGCAGTAAAGCAAGCAAAAATTGAATAGGTAATTTTTCTTATTGTCATCAGTGTTGGAAGAAAGCAAAAATACATTTGGATTTGTATGACTTCTGTCTTGTTATCTCTCTGAATAAAACGTAGAAGGAACTTTGCAGTGGGAGGTGTTAAACAACGCTGGTTTCCTCCAAACACAACTGCTCGTGGTGCGCATTACAACTGCTATAGGTTTATTTAAATGCTCTGTATCAGTTAAACTGATTATTGAAGTATCACTGTATTTAAGGGATACTGTTAAAGTTTTAGTTTTTCTAAAGTTTTTCATACCCTTTTAGTGTCTTTCTGAGGATTTTTAGAGAGTTATTATAGTGACATCCGTAACTTGCTATGTACGTGGTTTTAAAAAAATCTGTTGCTCCAAGCCTCCGGAGCTTATAAAGCAGTCACAAAAATGGGTCCTTATCAGAAATTCTGAGGTTATGCTTCAGGAGTTGTCCCCATCCCCCACAGCCCCCAGGAAAAAAATAACCGAGATGCATTTAGTTGATTTTAAGCTGTAGAGTGCAACATAACTGAAATTTCTATTATTTTCTCAACAATTCCTCGAAAAGAGATTTCTGTAAAACGCTCTGCGCAGTGTGGTGGCAAAGTGCTGCTGCTTTTTGGAAGCTTCAGGCAGCATCTAATGGAGGGCAGCCCAACATACAAAGTTTGGCTGCCTATCTCTTACCTTGGGGTGTGAAAAATTCATGTGGCCTTGGTTGACAGCACCTCACCAGCCAGCCACTTGGCCAGGAAGAAGGCCGACTTCGCTGCTTTAGCCCGCACCATTCAAAAGCAGTGTGGCTGTGCCGATGTCTCCTTCCGAAGGCAGGTGTGCGTTGGGCCTCCGCTAGCCCGGAGAATAGCAGCTTGAGTGCTTCTCATGAGGTGGTGTGAATAACATAGCCTTTCTGGCAAAACTGCATCTCATGGACCTCTGGAACGCTGCCTTGGCTTCACTGGGCTGTAGGCCAGGGCATTATTGCTCACCTCAAAGTTACGCGATCCAGTTCAGAAAAGTGTTTCAGCCTGCGAGTCGCTGGGAGCTGCCTGGAGCCCATTTGCTCTGGATTGCATAGGCTGGGTTAGGCTGCTAAACGAGGCTGGTAGACCCTTTTAGCAAATGACACAACATACGACACCATCTTTCTTGCATCATTTCGTACCAAGAAAATCCTTTGGAGTATCTGATGTTTGTTTCGGTGGTGGTGTTTTTCTTCTAACAGAAAATATTAAAGAAAAGAACAAATCTCAAGCCTCATCCCATGCACATCATCGCATTCAGAAAAAGAATGAGATAGAAAGAGAACACGACGGTGCTGCAGACCTGAAAGTCTCTGAGCTGGAGAAATGCAGAGATCATCTGAATTCCATATTTGCCCACTGGGAGCCTGTTTTCCCAGCAGTGCCTACCAGGCATTCAGGGGACCCCTCCATATCTGCCGACCCTGCGGATGAAACAGTCAGCCTTACCTGTGCGTCCACTTATGTAGTAACTAAATGGCTCCTGAAGTCCATGGTTGAGCACAGCCTCAACACGCAAAACGTTCCGTTAACTCTGCGGTGGCTGCAGAATTGCATCTTGCCACACCCAGTGGCAGTGCAGGAGATGCTCAGGGATGAGACACTGAGAAACAACATCTTCAAGTTTTACACCCGGATCTGTGAGGCCAGCAGCGGGACAGCTGGACTCTTTAAAGAGCTCTGTTTGTTCAGCTCGATCATGCTTGACCTAATGGATGCTCAGGGCCTGACCAACAACAGCTTTCATGAACTTGTGAAAACCTTGTGCCTGTCAGCAACGACAGAAGAGGATGCAAACAAGAAAGGTAACTCGTCTTTTCACTCACGTTACAAGGCACAAATGGGAGAAAATAGGTAGTTCTGTCTTATTTTTACTTCATCAAAACAGTCAAGTTTGCCTGCATCTCTTGGTGTTCATCACCAAGTAAAAGCTGTGTCTTTGGTGGTGTGGGCCCAGGGGTTGGTAGCACAGCATGGGGTCACAGCTGTAGGGGTTTCCGATAGAACAACAGTCGTACTCCCTCAAAGAAACTTTCCTTTCTAGGATTAAAATGGAGTTCAATGAGGTATAAAAAATATAATTCCAAGGGGAAAAATAGACGCAATAAATGAGTCCATATGGATATGGGTTCTGATCCACGTGCTGTTCAATGTTAACATTTGATAGCAAAAGTCACAGGTCAGACTTCAGACCTTTTTATTTAAAGATATCAGAAGGTTGTGCAAATGAGAAACTGTTTTCTTCTGTTAGTGTGGGTAGGATCATTTGCTTTATATGAGCAAAAACCCCACAAATTTTCCATCTAGGAAAAGAATTAGGAAAGAGTTAGGAAACTATTTTAAAATGTGGGTCTGGAGGTAAAATGGTTTGGTTTTGTATTACTATGTGGAAATAGTAGAATATCTGTTCTGATTTTTCTCATAATTTTTCTTCCACAGCTGTTTGCATATTCCTGACTTCTGTTTACATTGGGGACATATGGCTTGGAGCGCAGGAGCTAGATATGTTAATAACCCATGCCAAATTGATCTGCAGTAGTATAGATGATAAATTAAAAGGTGATGACTTGGAAGCTCATAAACAAGGAGAAGAAATTATTATGCCTCTGTGCAAAACCCTTTACTTGGCTACGTTGGGGCATTAATCCAGTGAACTGACACTTAATCTTTAATGCTATATTCTCTGCCATCATCGCTGTGAGCCATGAAGCCCTCCTGAACTGTTCTCCATACAAATCTAACTTGTTTTGTCATAAAGATCAATATTTTATTACTATGTGCAAACTCAGAGGGGGAAAATTGTATTCATCATCTCTCAGTGGAACATTAAAGCCGTAATTTCCCTTTTCTTGAACAGTATGGGACACTGAATGTTATTTATATCGTTTTTATTACAGGCATTTTTAACTTTATGAAGAGCCAAAAAAGAGTGATTAGTGCATTGCCTCTGGACTGTATTTCGGTCCCCACGTAGTTAAAATCCGTCCTCTCTGCAATATGAGGAAAAAAGACTGCAGAACTTCACCACAATTATGGTGTAAGTGCAAAGAATGAGTAGTCAGAGGTTTAGCCATGATGACTTCCTATTTCTTGAAGAGCACAGTTTCTTTCATGATATATGATACCAAAGCCAGTATGAATAGACGGCTCTGAGCACTGGAATCATGACGATATGGGATTCTTCTTGGAGTTTTAAATTAAATTGCTTTTGAAAGCATTTATATCGAAGCTGGTCTGGTTTTATTCTCCTTTCTGGTTTTGTTTTTTTTTGTTTTGTTTGGTTTGGGTTTTTTCTTAATTAAAAAAAGCCCTAACCATCACTACTGCTGGGACTTGCAACAAAGGCCCATCTTCTCTCCACTGTGAAAAGATGAGAGATGGAACTAAAACTCAAATGACTTGCTGCTCATTGATTATACATGGTTTTTATTGGAAATTCTCTGTGAAATCTGATAAATTTTTCTTGAATGCAGCCTCAAGGGCAGTTTAACATATCATTCCAGATATGCAAACATGCAGAGCCTGGACTCGAACCTTTGAAATGTAAAACAGGATTTATTAAAATGACTCATGAATATTTGCTGTGCCTAGGTACTTTGTACAAATTCTGTACAGGGAAAAAATCAGAACTGCACACTCCTTGTGATGTTTATGTAATGTGCTTTTTAAAAAAAAATTAAAAAATGTGAGACGCAAATAATGAGGATTGCTTCTACATATAAATATTCTTGTCCTAAACAAGCCACATCTATATCAAGACTTGATTTAAAAATAAAAAATATGTGTTGAAAAAGCTGTGAGCCCATTAGAGGCTAAATTTTTTGTCATATAAAATCTCAGGGTGTGACCTCAGGAAACTTCCTTTGTGATGAAAAAAACTTACTTTTACTCTTACTTAATTGAAAAAAAACAGGCGAAACGAAATCAAAGGAGTTGCAAAACAAAAGATGTCCTGCCACCTCATCTAACTGGAAAATAAAATACTCATGACACACGAGGAAAGAGTTTTTCAGCTGGCTTGAGGGACTGAGCATAGAATCATAGAATCATAGAATGGTTAGGGTTGGAAGAGACCTTAAAGATCATCTAGTTCCAGCCCCCCTGCCATGGGCAGGGAAACCCTCCACTACACCAGGTTGCCCAAAGCCTCATCCGACCTGGCCTTGAACACTGCCAGGGATGGGGCATCCACAACTTCTCTGGGCAACCTGTTCCACTGCCTCACCACTCTCAGAGTGAAAAATTTCTTTCTTATATCTAACCTAAATCTGCCCTCTTTCAGTTTAAATCCATTGCCCCTTGTCCTATCACTACACACCCTTGCAAAAAGTCCCTCTCCAGCTTTCCTGTAGGCCCCCTTTAGGTACTGGAAAGCTGCCATAAGGTCACCCTGGAGCCTTCTCTTCTCCAGGCTGAACAGCCCCAACTCTCTCAACCTGTCTTCATAGCAGAGGTGCTCCAGCCCTCTGATCATCTTCGTGGCCCTCCTCTGGACTCGTTCCAGTAGCATATCTAACAGTGGTTTATAGTATGATTTTCTTGAGAGAATTAAAGAAATTGGGTAAGACCATTCCACCAACCCAAGGCCAGTAACGCAGAAACATATTTTCTCTATGCGAATCTAAATTGGCAAGAAATTAAATTAATTTTCCCCAAGTTGAGTCTGTTTTTTGCATGATGGTATCTGGTAAGCAATCTCCCTATCTTAATCCTGACCCATGAGCTTTTTCATCCCATTTTCTCTGCTGAGTGGGAGTGAGAGAGCAGCTGGGTAGGCATCTAGCATCCAGACAAGGCCAACCCATCAATACGTAACATAGTGCAGTTTAGCCCCCTTCCAATCCCCTAATAAATTAGCAAACCCCCAATCCTAAACACCACAACTCCGATGTTACACAGTCTCCCAACAAGTTGCAAGCCCAGAATGTTTTTGGGTTTGCACTTGCATGCCTTGCAGTAGCCCTTTGGCCACGTTTACTTAAAAAATAAATTGTGTAACTGTGGTACCCGCAGGAGCAGAATTCACGTGTTGACGCTCAACCAGTTGGAAGAGTGATTCTTGAGCGAGATCAGTTTCTGGAAACTGGTACAGCATATGCAAACAGGCGTGCTAAATTACGCTTAAACAGCTTTTTGCACATGATATTTCCCTCTGTGGATGGAAACAGTGATTTCTGAATGCAGTTGTGTCACAGCTAAAATAAAGAAGACGACCTTCAAGATCATAGCGGGCTTTAGCTAATGAGATGCACAGTGCTGTAGATGTGAAAAGTAGTATCAGGAGACAGCGACTACGACTAGGGCCAGTCATGCATGTTGGTGAGCTTTCCTTACAGTTATGCACCCAATTCCTGACCTATTGCACATGAATCCACCATAGGTGTTCATACTTAGATGATGGTTTTCTGATGGCCTCAAGTATTCAGAAAGGCCCAGCAATGAGCACTTTCTCCCTGGCTTGTAATGTTTTGTTAGTACCTCCAATACTGCTATTACCAAAATACTCATCCTTGGTGGAGAGGATTGTTCATATGCGTTTCTCTTCCTTTTTTTTTTTTTTTTTTAAATGGTGGTTTTGGAAACAGAAAAATAGTGCAAATGAATTGACAATTTAAAGCTTCTAGGCTGTCACGTAAAAGATACATAGCTCATACTTGCTTCTCAGTAAAGAGAACGTAGCTGTGCATGTGGGACCTTTTAAAAAGAAGGCTTAATCTCTCACCGCCTCTGAGCTTCAATATATTCTAGTAATGTGGCAATTAAAAGATAATTATGAAGTCCTTCTAGAAATAATGGTCAAGTATCTTTAAAAGCCATAGATGGTTAGCAGTTGAATGATGTGTGTATGTGAATTACTGCCAACATATTAAAAATGCATTTTAATAAATTATATAGATGGAGAGTCATTATCTTAAATTAAGCATGATTAAAATAAATTGTGGAGAGCATTTAGAAATGGAAAACTTGCCCCAGATATGGGCCTGTGTTTTTAAAAATGGAGTTTCTAGAATTTGATACAAGTTGCTCACTTTGGTGCTCTTCTTGTGATGAGAACCATGTGGGTGAAACTCTGGAGCTCTCTGCAGCGGGCCTGGCCATCTGGTCTGCCCTCAGAAGTCATTGCCAGGACAGGCCTTTTAAGCCTTTTACTCAAAATTTAGGAAAACTCAGTGAAGTCAACAGCCCTGAAGAATACATTGCTTGTTGTACATGGTGTATAGACCATGTATGGGTTTGAGTTGCAGGTGGGTCTCCTCAGGATTTGAAATGGATCTCAGCTTATGGGCTGCTGGTGCTTTGAGGAGGACATCTGACACATGAATAGGAGAGGACTTGACATAGCATGAATAACTGGCAGAATGATGTGGCCTTTGGGGGAGCAGTGGTTTGGGGTAACATTTTTACAGAAATCAACTATGTCTTTGATTTGGGTCATACTTTGTTGACTGATGGGTGCAGCATTTCAATCATCCATGAATGCTGCAGACCACACAGGGAGGCCTCTGTTAATGGGAGAATAAAGTGCTCACTGTGGAGAGCCAAGCACTGGAAGGGCCTTGAAATGGGTACATCTGGAAATGTCACAGAAAGAAATGCATTTCTCTCCCCCCTACTCCCCTCCTCCCAAGTCAGGTGCTATAAGATAAGTTAGCATTTTGCATATGATTTATTGCTGTTTATATATCTCTCTCATACTATATGCTTTCCATTTCTAGGTAATTTGAAAGGGAACAAAAAAAAAGTGTTTTCAGTGGTTACATACTTTGAGTCATGTTCCAGTGCAACTAATGAAAGAACACCAGTTGTTACAAATGGGAGTATTCTCGTGTTTCAGAAATCCCCTTGGAATCCATTCGTAGAGGAGAGGTTCCTGAAAAACAAGATGATACGAGTGTGTCATGAGTCAGGGAGGAGGATGCTGGAGCAGACTGCACCAGCAAGCAGCGCAGTCCTGTTGTAGGAGAGATGTTGTACCTCAGGGTAGACAGGCTTGGCAGGAATGATCGAAGTGCAGCTGCTGCATCCTTGAGGAGGAAAATGGATCTAGATGGTCTGGACCTTTTCACACTCTCTTTGATGATACTGTGCAATTGCAGTGGGGTTGGAGGTAACCGTCTCAATTTGCAGCTGGAGAGCTGGTGTCAACAAGAGTTGACTCATGTCTCCTATGAGAACTACCTCAAATCTAGCAAAAGGTAAGAGTATCTGCAGGGGAGAGGAGGGCTGTTGTGGCCACCTGAGTTGATTGATGGAAACGTTTGGTTCTCTGATACACGTCTGCTCATGTTGCACCTTAAGTTCCTGCAGCCTTTCCTTGTTTTCTCCATCTGCCCATGACTCAGTCTGACTCAACAGACTTTACGCCTTGACAGGTTTCCAAGCCCAACACCAGGAGTAGTCAGTTTGCCCAGAAAGCAAACTGCACAAGTGTTTATTTCAGAGATTAAAAAAAACCCCCACAATACAAACATATGCCTGGTGGTTTGGTCTGTCTCTTCCGTTGAAGGTTTTTTTTAGCACAGCCCAGCCCACTCACTCCGGTAACATCATAGCCCACACTCCCTGTATACAGCATATGGCTGCTCTGGCAGTGCTTCACTGCAGGAGTTTTTGCTGCCTGCTTGGGGATGTGGGATTTTTAAGC